TTGGAAATTTATTATATTATAAAAAGCTATATTATAATTTTAATTCTTATTTATTTTCTCTGTTTTTCGTCTACCAATCTATCTTCAAGTATTTTCAATTTTTATCTTATAACCCTTTCATATTATTCATTCATTTCGTTTTTCTTCAGTTTCCTTCCCCATTCATCCAATCCCCTCTCCAAGTCTCTTATTTTTATCAAATACTTCTAGAATGAAGGGTAGATAAACGATGGAAAAAAAAAAAGATGAAAATTTCACGAGGGAATTAGCAACAACGATTCGACGAGTTCCACGAAAACGATAAATCAGTGATAAACTTTGCAATTTCTTCACCCCTTATCTGTGTTAACCCTCTTTGTGATTCCCTCCCGTAACGGTGATGCAGTGGCCCCATTGTCTTGCGAAACTGTACAACAGTCTTGTTATCGCGCAATTAACGCCTCCGCGTAACGAGTTTGACCGTTGAAATTTGCGTGGTCGTTTCGCGATCGTGCCGAGTGTTTAGATTAAGAGAACTTACGGGAAGTGACAGAGTGGTCGAAATAGAAATCGTTTCTGCCTTGATTGGAATATTATCATTTTTACTTTTTACATTGGTATGAAGATAAGTATGGGAATTATTCTTGAAAGTTGTTACGAAAGTTGTTATTAAATATTATACGTTATTTCTTTTCTAAACGAAGTTCTCTTTGAGTTTTAAAATTAATAATTAAATGAGAAAAGTTCATTAACCCATTGACGATAATAAGCGTGTAATGAAAAGTCAACAAAGTAAATTAAAAGTAATGTTTTAAATTAATATTTATGAATGTGTAATAATGTTTTAAATTTGTTTATGTGCAATTGTATTTTAATTAACATTATTGAATTAACATTAAATTAATGTATATTTCAGATGTAATAAAATTTATTGTTAAAATTTATTATATATTAAAAATTTTATTTATCAATTTCTTAGAATATGACTTTTATATATATATATAAATATTTCCTCATAATTCTATTTTTTAATTTTTTTTCTTTCAATTTTTTAACGCATACAGTCTTTTATAATCAAATATTATTGTACTACGTGCACAGAATATTTCTAATTCTATAACTATTTATGTAGAATTTAACGAAAAATTAAAAAGATTTTCCCTGTATGTATGTATTTTTATATCAAAAATTTTATTAAATTTTATTAAATTTTTCAGTTGATAAATACGCGATTTATTTCGTCATAAGAACATTAAAACCAAATATGTAACCGCATAAATACCTAATAATATCCGGAAACGTGCGAAAATCGCGGAAATTACACGCGGATACGAGATCAAAGAGTTAAAAAAACCAGCACTTAATTTACTCCATAATTTCTCCTCGACCCAACATCCTAAAAATCCTCGAATCGAATATACCCGCCGGATAAACGAAAGATCAAAGAACACTTCCCCTCCCAAAAACAATTTATCGGCTGCACGATCACGAAGTCACAATAAAATACCAGGATCGAAATTCAATAGCAATTCGCCGGTCCATAAACAATTCCAACATCCTTAAATCACGTGCATGATGTTCGTTTCGTTCGGCGCGTGTTCCTATTCCGCGATTCGAATCTCGCCGCGCGGCTGCGCCGTGTAGCGGTACTTTCCTAGGGAATTTTTCCGCCTCGGTGTTTAGCCGTGAAACCAGCCACAATAAACCATAAACCGTGGCCGCGCCACGGCCGTCTTAATTGCATACAATTAATTTGTCCACGTCGTGTGTATAGAAAATGCATCTCGATGGAATGATCTGTGTATCTTGCGAAAAGTTGCGTGCATCACGACGTTCACCTTCGATCGTTTGGATTCTTTGGCCGTTTCGATTCCTCGACGAAAAGACATCTAGAGTTAAGAGGTGAGGTTAGAATGAACTATAAATCAAATTATAATCGAATTTGTGGTGTAACAGGCTTGAATGTTATTAAAATTATAATGGCGTTTGAAAAATAATCGTTAAAATAATAAAGTTTTATTTGGGTAAGTGTTATTTGAAATAATTATGCGTTCATTTATTTGAAAGAATAAGTGACTTTTTCTTTAGATCAATTCTGTAGATTATTTGAAATGAAATAATTTCTTGAACATTCTAATTGAGAATCTGTTGAAATTGTTTTCGTTTGTTATAATAATAGATTTATTACAATATTTTTCTTGAATTTTTGAAGAAAAGATAACTTTAAGAGTAAAAATTCCATCATGAAATACATCCATCCATGAAATACATGATAAATGTGATTTCCTTAGAAGAAAATGAATTCGAATATTTGATGTGATTTTTGTTTGCCAAGATTGTGAATGAAGAAGTTTGTAATAGGGTGAGTTTAAGAAAGTTTAATTGAGTCTGAAGAAATTATTATAAATTTAAGTTTTACTTTTTTAAGTTAAGTAAGGTAAGTTGATTGTAAATTTAATAGAAAAATTTAACTGAAGAAAGAAATTTAATAATTCCTATAATAATTATAACAATATATATAATTTATACAATATAAAATACGATAAATTTACAGGAATTATATGAAAAAAAGAACGCAGTTCACACTTCACATATCTTGAAATATCCAAAATCTTCAAGGACAAAATTTAAATGATTCAATAATAAAAAAAGAAATTGAACTAAAAAATATCATGTAAAAAAGATTTTAATAGAATAAAGTAAATGATACGTATTACTACATAACATTATTCAAAAAGTACTTTAATTAAAAAAAAGTACTTTAAATAAATTAAATTAAATAAATATTAAAATGTAGAATAAGAATAATTAACTTAATCTCTTAAGAAAAATTAAAATGGATAATTTGTTAATAATAAATCAGAAAGATTTAGAATTTCATTTCCTTCCACGAATTACATTTTCACCAACAGAGAGCACAATATGCATATATATATATATGAAGCCAATCAATCGAGTTCGAATACACGAGTTTTGCGATAGGTCAGTTGGCATTGGGAGCAGCGGTATGAGTGAAACACTTCCTTCGATTTTTGAAACGGGGTTGGGAAAGTTATCCGATATCCTTTCACGGGTGGATCGCGGTCATATTTGTGCAACTGTCACGAAGGGACACTTTACGCAAACCCTCTTGTGTACTGCATTATATCAGATTACCGAAATCTGCTGGTATACGATTCCGTTCGTCGATTGAGATACAAACGCGAGGCTCGTGAGATCGGATTCGTAAAGGATGCGGGAGTAACGAGATCCCTGTTGTCTCCTGTTTCAGGAACGAAAAAGAGAGTGGACGATGTGGTAGCGCCCAGGACCATTCACGACATACCGGAACACGTTCTCACGTGTGGCCTCACGCTTCCTGGTAAGTCTGACAAATTTTTCATTTTTATTTCGATGTATTCGTTAAAACTTTTTAATGTCTAATTTCTTTTTTTTTTTTTTAAATTCTGTTTTCTATATTTCTTCGTATTAGTAAATGAGCAAAAGATTTTAAACATAATTGATAATATTTAATATCGTTTAGATATTTTAATAAAAACATTATAAATATTGAAAATTGCGAATAATCGTAATTTTTGAACAGCAGAAATTGTACAATCTAATAACTAAATCATTCAAATCTTTATTTATAAACATTACCAAACTCTATTCTATCAATATTCGTCAATCATGGACCAAATTCCTATCATTCTCCTAATTCAATACAAACTTCGATTCCTTCACAAGTGGGTCATTAAAATTTTCATTAAACAGACACCCTGATATGCTATCTTCGACTATAACACAGGATAAACAGAGGAGTAGAATTGTGATTATCAATACTTCATTGATAATAATATTTTCGATACATCGATAATATCGTTAAGATATCGTCAATGGATGAAAGAAGAGTGGAGTTCTTATTTTTTTTTATTTAAAATTATCATTAAAGCATGTAAAAATATTATTTGTAACAATATTTACTTAAACTGTTTCTATTCGCGTTTATTTATAGATTAACACAATATCTTCAACAACAAAGGAAAAATAGAAATTCTAGTTACTTTTATCAGTTATCTTAAAGATATTATCGGTATATCGAATGATATCGGTAACACACCGATACTATCATTACTTATCGATAACAATATCGACAGTCATAATATCGATCGTCTTATCTCGCAGAGGAATATACACAGAAGCCAGGACACACCCATTGCCTCCTAAAGCCCAATTCACACGCCTCTACATCCTTGCGTCTATTTACGTGGTTTAAAGTGCTTCTCTTTATCGTACCTCCTTATGGTCCTTCTTTATACGTTCCTTCCTCTACATCCTGTTTGTCCTTTTCTCGAGGCTCTCACGGATGTTTAACTGTATTCTCACGTTGGTACTTAGTTAACGATTAACCGAGCATGGGATAAAATCGGTGCAAGGGTTTCTTTTTTTTTTTCGAGAAAAAGCATTACGAGGAGGATGAGATATGTTGAGGTTGAGGCTTTGAGAGAGAGGAAGTTGATGTACGCTTAGGATGGGATCTTGGATTGCTCGCACGAGGAAAAGATGATCTTTTCGAGATGAAGGGTTTTTAAAAGGGTGAAGGATGGAAGGGTGTGTTGAGTGTTTTATTCTTCCTGAGAGATTCTTGTTGAAAGGGTTTTAATTTATGATGGTAATTTGATTGGTGGGGGAGAAAGGATATGTTTGAAGATGGAATTTTCATTTTCATTCTGTATAATTTATGAATAGTTATACAATTAGTAACTGTTATATAGATGGAAAAAATGAGTCAAAAATAATTTTGAAAGTTGAAGAAGGCTTTTCTCAAAACTTTTACAAATTTGATTTTGTAACCAATTTATATAATTTATTATGTAATTTTGTATCTGAAAGTCAGAGTTATCCCAGTTATTCCTTAATAGAAAAACTGTTGTAATCATAAATTTGTAATATTATATTTTTAAATTATCAATGCATCTTTGTTATTTAACAATTATTATATAATGTGAATATAATATCTCCAGTTATATTGATAAAACAAAAAAAAATGGTATGGCTATATAAATGAATTATTTTATTTTTTGTCAACTAATAATAATTTTAAAAAATATATTGAATAAGTTAAACGTATGGTAAGATAAAATACGGTTTTTAATTTTCTTTTCTTTAAAATAGAAGCTGTGAAATAATCGAAAAATAATTTATTCCCCTTCCATTTACGTGTAAAAATTATTTCTCGACTAGTTTCTGTCTGCTGTCGATTTCGTTATTCGTAGCTTTCCATTCGTGCAACAATTTCCAACCAATGTTTCACATGTGCGCATCCATTACCTTCCCCTTTTGGAACGTATAATTTTCTCGCATTCCACCGTCTCCACTCTCCACCATCCTCCTCGTGGAACGTTTCTAAAGAGGAGGAATCACAGGAATTGAACCACTAATGCGACTAATTCGAAAAGAAAACATCCTAACCGTACTTTCTCGTGATCTTTATTAAAACTCTGCCGAGGATCGAATCTCTCCACACTCGTTGTTCCATCGTTCCTTGTTGAAAATCTTTGGATCGCTGCATAAATTACGTTTATCGCCACGCCTCGTTCGTGTAAACAGATTCTCGTGTTATTTCTTCTCTGTTTACAACGTTATAACGTAAACAATAATATTATGAATTATTTAATAATATAATCATCATATTTGTATTGGTAATAAGTAAGAAAGAGTGAAGTAAGAATTATCGAAAGATCATTTTTCATAAATTTAAACAGTGTTACATATCTCTAATAATAATAAATAAATCGTTTTTGATTTATTAGCTATTAGTTTTTCAACCCTAATATTCAAAAAAGCTTTTGGAAGCAGTAAAAAAATTTCAAATAAAACCAATTTATAACCAAAGTTTAGTGAATAATAAAAAAAAAATTTTTTTGATTCTTCCAAATAATCAATTTTTTTTATTTTTATTTATTAATTTTCTTTTCTTCTAAAGTGATTGCCAATATGAATTTTAATTTTTTAATTATTTAGTGCAAAAATATGTTTCCAAACTTTTGAACGATAGTCTATATTAATACATGCGGTTCATTAAATTGCAGAAAAAATAATATATCGATAAATTTATTGAAAATTGAAAAAAATATATTTACTGTTTTTCAAAATCATTGCAATAACATTTTGAAAATTTGTACAAACGCGAAAATTTACTATTTTTTGAATTGAAAGAGTTAATGATAAATCCAAAAATTTTTATAAAAGAAGTACAATCCCATACATCATAAATAATAATAAAGATTATTAATTGATTAACAAATTTACATTACTATTCTCCTATGCCTATCTCTTATTTCTAAACAAACTTAAATAAACTATATGAATATCCTCACATTTGATCAATTTTTTTCGTTCAAATCAGAGAAAAAGAAAAAAAAAATTTCGAACGAATTCGTGAAAAAAAAACAAACTATCGCAGCAATTAACAAACTTACGCCAGCTATTTAATATCAACGCTACAACTCTTCCTTCTTTTTCCTCTTTCTCCTTCTCTTTCCACTTGAGCATCCGCTTTCTCTTTGTAAATATTTTCTCCGCTATTTTTCTTTCTTCCCCTTCTCTGCCCCTCCTCTCCCCTCCCATTTTCTCTATTTACAAGCACTTCCTGTTTCTCGTTCGCGAAACTCATAGCTGATTGCGTCCCCTCGTTTCCTCGGTTGTTCCATCGTCGACGCGCACGTTAAACAGCAAACAAAATGAAAACGGGACATTCTCGTCGTCTCGAGAGAAGAGCGGACAAAGAGGTGCTCGCTCAGAATTCAATTTTAAACGAAAACGCTGGTGAAACGATTTCTGTGTCGCCTTTGAAGATGAGTCGCGTGCTCCTTCGTGCTTGTTCAGGGGGAGGGAAAGAAAAAAAAAAAAAAGGAAAAAACTCGCTCGAAAGCCCGTCCGTTTGCAAAAGAATTTTTCATTATTTAACGGTGTTACACGTGTTTTATACGCGCGCGAAGCGAGTTTTTCTTCGAAGGTTTGTTACAGGTTTGTTTTCTGATCCTTAGACCTGTAATCTTCCACCGTTCGTACCGTCTTTTTACAGTGTTATTAATCGGCATGGTAAAAACGGAGCTATGCCGTTCCCAACCGCTTGGTAAAATTTTTGAAAACGGAGGAACAATTACATTGTCGCCGTCAGCGTAGAAAGTGAAGGATAATGCGCCCCTAAAATCCGCGGATGGGTGAAAGGAAAAGGAGTATTATGCGTTTTATATCTAATTGGATATTCTTTACGCACGTTTCGTATTTTCTGTTTCAAGAATTTGCATCTGGATTATCGTGAATCGATTCGTAAGGTAATTCTCTCACGATTTTTAAGAGTTGATAACGAAAGTGGAAATCCGAAGTAGATGAACGTTAAATGCGGGGATGTAACAATAATTATTTTTAGGGTAGCAGTATTTTTTAAAAAATTATTAATTATGAATTTTTGAATATGATATTTCGAATTTGAATTTATAGACTTGGATCCTTGAATATGGAGATTCATTTATAATCTTAATAATTCAAAGTAATTAATAATCTTTAATAATATTTAATATTTTTAATATTAAATAATATAATATAATTAATAATAATAAAATTAATAATAATTAAATAATAATAATATTATATAATATTAAATAATAATACTTAATATTTCAAAAAGTTATAAATTTTTAAATTTTTAATCCAAGAATTGAAAATCGATGGATCTATATTTTTTTCTTGTATTCTTTTTGAACACTAATATTTCTCTTATATTTTGAACTTTGAATTTAGATCTATGGATTTGAATCTATCTATGTGTTTTAAAATTGTAAAGTTTAAACTCATGAACGTAGAAATCAAAAATTGGAAATGGATGGATTCTAAATTTTAAATTTCTGATCTCTTTAAATGAATTTTGGATCCCAAATCCAAGTTTCTTGATTTGAATATAAGTTTTTGAATTGAAATATCCTTGCGTTTAATTATTTTTAAATTATTCACTTGTAATTCATGAATTCTAAAAAATTACTCATATTATTTTTTTAAAATTCATTACAACTTACTTATTACAGTATTTTAAAACACTTGTCAGTACAGTAAATTGCATATTATCTATTTTTAAACATCTCTGTGAATATACTCTTTTATTTCTTATTACTACATAATGGTATAATTTAACAAGTTTGTATTGTGTTGGATGCTTGCAAATAAATATCTTAATTGCCATTTCTATGCATTCTTCCGGCAGTCTTCTTTATAATTAAATGCAAGCATTTCCTCCATGTAAAGATTTCGCACGACTTATTTGTCATTCTATAGGATAGGATTCGCGCATTTCCTCTTTCTCGTGTAAAAATTACATGTAAT